TGATTTGAAACAAAATTAATCAACACCCCCATCATTCAAGAAAATGATTTTCAGACTCTCTTCGGAAATCGCAAGTGAGGCATTCAAGTGGGCTTGAAATCACGGTTGTTTTGTTAATCTGCCGGAACTGTTTTATTTTTTTTTTCAATCAAGGTTGTTTTCAAAATGCGCCAGAACTGTTCTTTAAAAATCAACCTTAATTTTTGAGGTTAAATCCATAAATTGCCTTGAAATCAAGGTTCGATACGAAATACGCCAGAACTCGCTTTTTATAACTACTAGGGTGCTTTCGTATTTTCGTAAATATACCTCATTTTGCCTCATGTTCTTTGGTGTGTTCGAAAACATTTTTGGAAATGATTATGATAACTTATGGAACTCAGCACTATAAAGTTTCTAAGTCAGCCGGATAATAAATAAAATATATCTTCGAGTGTCTATAATCTAGGAGTCTACTACTTACTTCAATTTCTAGTAAAACACTTTATAGCGTTTGTTTAAGCCATACGGCTTGACTTACACTTTGGCATGGTTTGTAATTTTGTCGAACATTCCATCTGGTAAGAAGTTTAGAGGATTATCAAAGATGGTTCTGAAAAATAAAATATCTACTCCTTACACAAGTGACGATTTGATAGACATTGTAAAAGCTCCCAATATCACCGACCGATTTTTTTTTTCTTAAATATGTTTGTTGTTTCCTTCTGACGTCCAGCCGACCGAAGAAAAAAGAAAATGTTCAGTTCATGAAATTTATCTCCTTTTTAGAGCTTCAAAACAAATCAGTCCATTTGTCAATTTACTCACAACTGCTCCAGTACAAGTCTGTCAAAAGCCTTGCTTTCAATAGTTTTGATTGCGTTACTGTGAAGAAACCTGCAGAAAAAAAATACGTTTCGGTGATCTTCTATTCTCAATCAAACTGGTTTTGATGAGAAACGAAGAAAAGGTAACCCTTTTTCTAACTAACAGCAATCGGGATACATCTTAGAAACCGAAGCAACTCATATCTCATGGTGTAACTTGTAATGATATACTACGATACACATGATACAATATTACATGACGTGAGGAAAATCTTAGAACTAAAGTTTATTCTTACAATGATTCCAGGCGAGG